AATAATAATCTGAAGAATTTAAAGCGAAGGAAACGAAAAGGAGCCAAGGGGGGGGGGGGGGGGGGGGGGGCGGGGGGGGGGGGGGGCAGTCCGCGGGGGACAGCCGGGTCGGGCCGGCCTCACTCGCTGTCCTCTTTGTCCTGCACGGTGGTGGTGGAATGATTGTACAGTCCTTGGGCCATGAGGTGAAGGGCCAGGCCGTTCTTGATGCCGGTGGCTTTCTTGATCTTGGCCCGCTTGTTCTGGAACCAGATCTTGATCTGGGACTCGTTGAGGCTCAGCTCCTGGGCCAACGTCTGCCGCCGCTGCTCGGTGATGTAGCGGTTGGCCTGGAACTCCGCCTTGAGTCTCTGCAGCTGCTCGGCGGTGAAGGCCGTGCGCGGCCGCTTGTCCTCCTTCTCGTTCTTCTTCTTCTTCAGCTTCCTCGTTCGGGGACCTACAGCGGGGAGGAGGAGGAGGAGGACGGAGGAAGGAAGGGAGGGAAGGGAAGGGAAGGGAGAAAAAGACAGGCACGCAGACGAAAAGGGAAGCCGGGGACGGGGAAGGAGAGCCGGGAAAGGACACAACGGAGCTGGGTCAGAAAAAAAAAACAAGCCAGAAAAACCAAAGGCGTCCGAGCGCACCTTGAAGGCGGGTTTGGGCCAGGGAGTCGCCTCCAGGAGGATCCTAAAGGGCTCTGGTGGAGAAGAAGCCACACATCCCTTCGTAAAAAGGGGACAGCCGGCAAACCCTAAACAGGGCCGCGGGGGGGGAGGGGGTAAGGCGGGGGCCGACTGCTTTCCCTTTCAATTCTTCCTCTCCCCCTTCCCACTGCTGAGCTTGGAAAGCCGCGGCTTCACCCCGCTCCTTTCCCCGCCGCTGTCCTCCACCACTACCGCTGCTCGAAGACGGCCTTGCCTTCGCCCTCTGCTCCCTTCTCCCCCTAGAAAACCAAGGTACCTCAACAACAACACACACACACACACACACACACAGCCGCTAAAGAGAAAGGGCGAGCGGGGGAAAGGCCAGGAGAGAGAGAGAGAGAGGAAAAAGGACAAAGAAAAAGGCTTAAACCGGAGGGATATTTTGGCCCGGCAATGCAGCGCCCATGCCAGATTTTTTTCCCGGCTGGCCTAATTCAGGGGTCTTCCAAAAACGCTTGTGGGTCTGATCGCTTCGCATCGCTCTTTCCTTGGCTAAAGAGAGCCAGGGATCTCTGATGCGCGGATGAAGACTTGGAACAAGCTTACGTTTTCCTGAAATTGCCCTGACAAGGCACATATGTAGGCCGCGTTTGCATCGCATAGTCGCATAGTCGGGCCTTCACCACCTCAGTCTCCTCAGTCTCCTCTTTAAAAGCAACGTATGAAACTGATTACAGAAAGTGGGGGGGGGGAGAAGAAAGGGGGAGACCCTACCGATGGATTAGTTGTATCTTGGAAACCACAGAAGGGAAGAAACAGCCTTGGAAAAGAGGTTGCATTGCAGACGGCCGTTTTATCTCCTGTATGGCTCCCATTCGGAGGGGATTCCTAGGTGTCTCTTTTCCCCCCTGAACACACACACACACACACACACACACACACACACACACACACGAGACCTCTGATCAGATAAGCAGCCCTTCCAGAATTTCAAGGGTTAAAATGAAAGGGGGGGGGAAGGAGAGACTTCGACGTCATCCCTCTTTTCGGCAGACGCAATATATATATATATTCCAAATTATCAAACCTGGATATATATATATATATATATATAGAGAGAGAGAGAGAGCCAGGTTTGAAAATTTGGAAGGCAGGAAATGAATGCTGAGAAAGTCCCAAATTTAATTCGGCAAGAACTTGGATAAGGTGATTTTTTTTAAATTTATTTTTTGGTCGTAGAGGAAGAAAAAAGAAAAGAAAAGGCTACCGAAATAGGGATAAACACAAATAGGGGTAAACCCTCAGGTACCTGCCGCAGCCTGAAAACAGAAGCCACCTTCTTTGGGATTAAGAATCTGTTTGACCCAGAGGAGGCCACAGAGCAGGCAAAAGAAAATATTGCTGCCTTTTTAAAAATCTAGGAATTGAATGTTCAACAGAGAAGATTGAGACAAAGCAATCCTGATTGAGAACCCCACTTCTACCTCTGTTCTTTACCACCATCCATTTTCTTGTTCCAAGCATTTGATCTGAGCCCTATTGGGGGTTCCTCCTCAACTCCCACCTACCCCCCAAATTGTGTAACATAAGAATGCGTTGTCTTGAAACTGCACCAAACTGGGGAAAGCCTACACACACACACACACACACACACAGGCTGCAGGTATATATATTTTACCTACAAGAATAAAAGGCTGGGAAATTGGGGACTTGGGGTCATTTTTATTTGCCGCAGATTTGGCAAATCTGGGATTTTATATATATATATTTTTAAAAAATTCCACTTGGAAGCTTCTCTTTTCCTGAAAGTTAGTTTCTTTTAAACAAACAAGACTTGGAGTCAGGCAGTCCTTGCTGCCTATAATAGAATTAAAATAGACCCAACATCCAGCTATGTGGATCACTCGATAGCAGGTCAAATTGTTCTATATTTCTCCCCTGCTTCTCTTCTAACCACCTCCCCATAATTATGTAGGCAACTTGAAATGTTTATCCAGGAAAAAGTGGCCATTTAAAATATGTTGTTAAACTCTCAGGCAAGAGGGCGTAATAGCATTTCAGAACCCTTATTTTGCTTCGCTGCAGGAAAAAAAAAAGCTTAAAATTGTTTAGACATTTAAAAAAAAAAGTGCATCAAAGGAAGTTCTGTATCTATTATCCCCCAAAGTCATAATAAATATTGTAAGGAGGTTTGTTTTAAAACAGAAAGAAAAAATATGCCCTTAGTGTGTGTTTGTTTGTGTATGTGCTTTAGTGTGTGTGTGTTTGGGGCGAGGGTCTTGTATAAAAGGGAAATACACTGCTTTTCGATTTCCTCTCGAAGCTTCAAGTGAGATTTCTTTCTCTTCAGGTTCGAATGGAAACTCCCCAGGATGTAGTAGGCCTCAAAGTTACAACTCTGTCTTATTTCGAGCTTGGCTAGATAAAAAGATAAATGCTGATGTACATGCCTGGGTTCACGTGGGGGGGGGGTATAAGCTCCAGAAGGCAAAATCCAGCTGTGTTTTCCTCTTTTCCCCCTTAAATTAAAAATAAACCCCAAGAATAAGCGCAGATTTCAGAACTGAAATCAGCAGATTTCAGATCGATATTTTTCAGAGCAGTGCCCTCCTCGCCTTCAAATACACACGCCCAAAGATGCTGGGCTAGTTAGTGAAAGTCGAGAGTCAGATCCTGCCCAGTTGACCTGGAATACAGCCTCCGTCCCTAATTCGGCCTGGTCTCGGGGAAACTAAACAGACACCTGCTTCGAGCACACACTGCCTTCGCCTCCCCACGGGGGAGGGGAAGAGAAATGCCGAAAAATGCAACCCTCTAAGCCTTCCAACCTCTCCAAGAAGCCAAGTTTGTCAACCGGTTGGCTTGCTGGAGCGAAGGAGGCCTCCCTGCTTTCCGGGGCCTGCGTCTTGAAAACCCCAGCGGCCGATCTTGGCCAGGGCAAAGGCGGCCGGGCGCTGGGAAAGGAGGGCTGAAGTTCCTGGGGCCTGGGCGCGCGGACGAGAGCCCTGACAGCTCAATCACTCAATCAATCCCGTTTAAGTCAATCACGGTGGCTTTTCTGCGTTTCCAAGGGCGCGGGGAGGTGTCAATAGCATCGCGGTGGCGATGGCTGAAGCTGATAGCGGCGGATTCATCAATCCGCCTGCGGAAAGGAGCTGGCTGAGGAGCGCCGAGGGAAGCCGCCCGCTGGAAGGCTTTCCCCCTGGTCTCGGGTTTGGTTCTTCCTCCCTTGTTCTGGGAAGGGAACCGAGGAAAGCGCTCTCTCTCTCTCCCTCCCTCCCTCTGCCTCTGTCTCTCCACCCGAGAACCCGGGAAACCCGAGAACAAATAGGGTGCCATTCCTGCAGCCAGCGGAAGAAGGTGGCTAAGCCACCTTAAATGACTAATTGTGGGAGGTTACATCTACGAAGAAAAGACCCCGAAGCCAAGGCCTGGGGCCTGAATGTTGGTCTCTGCCACGCCAGGCCTTCCTTGCACAGAGCATTCCCCCCCCCCACCCCTTCCCCCTTCGCGCCCCGCACGCCCTTCTGCACGCCCTTCTGCTCTTCTTCATTCTTTCGGCCCCTACCGCCTTGCCTCGGACCTTCCAAACCATCCAACCTGCTCCAAGTGCAAGCGTCTCGTTCAACCCACCATTCCGCACTAGTCCCAAACCGAATGGCGCCCGTCATCCCCCGCGGAAGAAGAAACAATTCGCCGCCGAAGTCGCCCAAGACGCCTCGTGAATTCTACCAACCAGCCCGGACTTGGGTCTCCAAAATTCAAAACCTCCCCATGACCTTTACGCATCCATAACTATCCAACGAAGGAAAGAGATTTGCTCAAGCCTTTTCTTGATGAAAGACACACACACAAACACACACACACACACAAACACACACATTAAATCAGGGTGCGGGGAATGGCCTCGCAAAACGTACGCTTTTGCCAGCCGGATTCTAAACGCTTTCCACCGAAGGATCGCCCTTGCCCGCTTGGGTGAGGCCGCTGGATTCTCAGCGACCTCACCATTCGGGTGATTATTATTATTTTTGCCTTCAGGACCGAGGCTGTTTTTAGGGGAAAGGGCTTCCTCGTTCTAAAGAATAAAGGATCTTAAAACTGCGGTTGGCGGGGGGGGGGCGGGGGAGGCAGGGGAACAAGGTGATCCAGAAGATAAAACAGCCAACCCACAACCTTCCACCTCCCTGCCCGCCTCCCCGGCGGCTGGATTTCCAAGGAATTGCTCGGAGAACCGACCTTCGCTCCGTTTCTTTGGAAACCACCCAACCTGCGGGCAAAAGCGCGGCCAAAGCGGAGCTCCCTGAAACGGGACAACCTTGGGACAAGGACCCCCCCCCCCTCCCCATCCCCAAGCCTGTCGCTGGTCCCGCAGCAAGTCCCCGCACCCCACCCACCCCCCCGCCGCCGCGCCAGATTTGGATCCCGAGGCGGAAGAAGGACAGGAAAGTCACAGGCTGATCGTTCGGGTCGGGGGGTGTGGGGGGGAGGGAGTGGAGAGCAAGGGGGGCTGGCAAGCTTAGCCGAACCAACGACCCCCCGAGAGGAGAGAGAGGGGGGGGAGGAAGGGGAAGGCGCGGGAGGGGGGGCGGGTTGGGTTCTCAAGAGGATTCTTACCCGAGGACGGTCTGTCTGAATACCTAGTGCAGTAAACCCAGGCCGGCCAAACCAGCGGCTGTTGACCCTCGCCGGAGGCCCCCACTCCTCCATTCCCGGAGCCCACGAGGAGGATGGCCGGGTTGGCGGGCTCCCCGTACTTCGCCGGGTTAGTTCCACTCCCTTCCGAGCAGGAGGAGGAGGAGGAGGAAGAGGAGGAGGAGGTGGAAGAGGTGGAGGAGGTGGAGGAGGAGGTAGTGGAGGGGGGCTTGGCCGTCCCTACCGCTGCTGCCGCCGCGGCGGGGCTGGCTTTGGAGGCCGTGGAGGAGCTGTCGGGGTTCCCGGGCGAGTCGGCGCTAAGGAGAGTGGAGGCCGGGTTGAGGGGCCTGCCGAGCAGTGGGCTGACATTTTCTCTACCTGAGCTGGCCGCGCGATCTAGGTCTCTGTCCCGGCCGCCGCCGCCGCCTCCGCCGCTGCCTCCCCCTCCTCCTCCCCCTCCTCCTCCTCCTCCTCCGGACGCCGCAGGGCCGCCGGCCAGGATCAAGAGGTGCTCTTTCTTGCAGCCAAAGTCCGGCCTCAGGATGTTGTCGATGAAAAAGTTGGTGGTGCGGTGCTGAGGCGGCGGCGGCGGTGGCGGTGGCGGTGGGGGCGGCCTCGGCTGCTGCTGCTGCTGCTGCTGTTGCGGGGGGAGCGGAGGCGCCTGGTGCTGGTGCTGCTGGTGTGGATGGTGGCCGTGGTGATGATGATGGTGGTGGTGGTGGTGGTGGTGGTGCGGGTGATGGGGAAGAGGCACGAGGCAAGGCGCGGCGGGAGACAAGGGAGCGTGGCCGCTGGGAGACACCGGGACGCTCTCGCCATCGCTCCCGCTGCCGCTGCTCCCGCTGACTGGGGTCGGAGCCGAGTCGCGCTGGCTTTTAGTAGCGTCCGCCTGCTCTTCCATCGTCGGTCGCCAGCTCCGGAGATCGCCGTCTTCTCTGGAGGGGCCCCCCAAAAAACCACTTTCCGGACTCCCCCACCTCGCCACCAGTCCAGGAGGTGGAGGGATTCTGAGAGTCTGAGAATTTTGTGAAGAGGAAAGCGGGGAGGGGGGGGTTGTGGTGGGTGGGTGAGGGAAACGCACAATAAAATCCACTTGTTGGTTTTAGAGCGGGAATCTAGTAGAGAGAGATATCCAAAGACTCGGGCGTTTGGACGGGTTCGCTCTTTTTGCGGTTATCTTATATTTCCAGCCTCAGCCTCTCTCTCTCTCTCTCTCTCTCTCTGTCTCTCTCTCATTCTCCCCCTCTCGGAAGAGGGAGACAGAGAGAGAGAGAGAGAGATCAAAACAAAACCAGCCCCCCCAAAAAACTCCGCCCCCTCCCTCCAAAAGTCCTCACAGTCTACCCATCTTGCTCCAAAACGGCGAAGCGTTGGGGTTCAAACCCCCTCCCCCCCAAGTGTCAGAGTCAGCTCTGCCCGCGGATCGGTTCTTGGCAGGATGCTTTCTTTAATCGCCCACTCGCACGTGCATATTGGTCTCCCACCTTTTCTTCCCCTCTTTTCCTCCACGTTCCTCTCTTTTGTGTCAAAAAAGAAAAAGGAAAAAGAAAGAAAGAAAGGGGAAAAAAGAAAAGAAAGAAAAAGGGGGCAAAAAGGAGGGGGGAAAAAGAGGAAAATCTCTGACAGCTCCGATCTTGCAACAAACTCTCCCTAAAAAAATCTCTCAACCACACTTTTTTTTCATTCCAACCGGAAGCACGTGAGGATGGCCCGCACGTGGAAAGAGCCAATGAGCGGCCCCACAATTCTGTGACGCCCCTGACGTCAGCCAATGGGCTGCGTTCGAACTTTGCAGAGACATTAGCCAAGGGGCTGGCGGATTCAAAGGGAGCGAGGAGATTTACGCGTTGCTGGGCGCATCCTTTCCTAGACCGCGCTCCCTCGTTCCTGGGTCGCACCGGCCGAGGATTTTTTTTTTTTTTTCAGCCAGTCATAACTCTCAGAAACCAAATATGAAATAAACGCTACCGAAAACTTTTCCGACTTCTATTAAGACGTGTGTGAGTCTGTGTGTCTTTCTCTTTTTGTAGAGTCAGTTCTAAACCCCGGGAAAGGAATGCCTGGTTTTCCATTAATAAAAACGTAACATGCCGAAAGGAAAGGATTTTGGATCCTTTTTCTGAATTAAATCAAAACCAGACCATAAACGGGCGGAAAAAAAATACATTTTGCTGAGAATGGGAAGTAACAGGGGGGAAATCCCCATTTCTACCGCACCTCTCTTTTGTGCTTTGCGTCTGCGTTCGGTGTGTATCCCCCTATTTGAAATAAATACGCTTGAAAAAAGCCGAGATCCATGAGTTTGGGTTTTTTGTCCAAACGAATTTGAAAAAGACCACTTGGAGTTAAGCTTGAGTAGCCCCAAGCCTGCGCTTTCCAGCTGCACCGGTTGGAAAAGGGGGAAATGCCGTGGGATCTTGAACGTCGTGCCTCCGCGCTAACTTCCTTCCTTTGGCAGGTGTCTCCACCAGCCTGGAGTCTTTAAAGCGAAGGGTTTGTCTTCCGGCCGTTGGAATTCCTAGGGAGCTGAGTATATTTGGGCTGGTTTGCTAGAGCTTTTGCACACCCACACCTTTCTCTAAGTCCGAAGACCACCGGTAACCCTTTCCTTCTTCCCAAGATGTGGTGGCAACTTCTTCTCCCACGGCGTTTTCACACGCGAAGAAGAGGTGGATGCGCCAGAGAAGAAGCAACTAGCGAGTTGTGTCGGGTTCAAAATGTTAAGGGGTTCTTAGGCCAAACCGGTAGGGCAAGAATCCAACGGCGGTCGGCTGCTGGGTTCACTCGAGAGGGAAATGCTTTTGTGTGTGGGTGGGTGGGTATGTGTGTGCTCCCCTCACACTCACAACACTTAACGCTTGCACAAAAGTCGTGGCGAGTAGCAACCATCCACGCACACTAGGCCTTCTGCAATTTCGCCTCAAGGTTCGGAGAGCCCGCCGCAGCTCTGGAGTTGGTTGTTACTATTATAGGGGCTTTTGGTTTATAGGGGCTTTTCGGAGTGGTTTCTCCACCTCTCTCGCGCTCATTCTCTTACAAACACGCGTGAAATGCACGCTTAAGCTTAAGGCTGCCGCGTCGCGAAATATCGCAAGGGTCGTTTTGAGTGGAAGGCAACTGAGGAGGGTTTTTTTTGGAGAGGAGGCCACATTGGGGCCCACGCCGGTTACAGGTGCTCCTCGGATTTCTGAGAGTCCGGACCGACGAACCGCGACCCTGTACGCCCAGAAGCGGAGAGACGCGAAGCCCCCACTCGGCATCACGTGGGTCGGGTCCTCTCTCTCTCTCTCTCTTGCTCCCTGGTTCCTTCTTCCTTTTCTTTTAAAGCTGGATTTTAAAGCCTGGCAAATCGGATCGTTTCGAAAAAGCCCGTGTTTAAAATGGGATACGTGCGTGATTTCCCCACCACCTCCAAAAGGAGGGATGCCAGTCCCTTAAGCTGAAACACCCCTTTTTTCTGGAAGTGTCCAGGAATTGCCTTTGTTTCTTATGAATTACATTCGGGTCTGCTAAAAAAAAAAAAAAAAGCAGGAAAGCTTTAAACCGCGCTTTTTTCACCCAGAAGGCCCAACTTTAAAAAGCAACTCTTACAGATCAGCCTTACTAAGTGGCGCAAGGGAATCAACACATCACGCACGCACCCACCAAAATTAAACGACTGTTGAACATCTGGCCATTCACATTCCTCTCGTTGAGTTTCCCCTCCTCCCCCCCTTTTTTTTTTCAAAAATTGGGCTTTATATTTTAGTTCGCAAAAAGAAGGGGAGGAGGACCCAAAAAAAATGAAATCTTTATCCCAAAAGCGAGCGTGGGTACTTAATTAAATTCTAATTAGGACACTATCAATATCCCATTTAGCGGCGTCGCCTTTGTGTGCCTCCGTCCCTTTCAGAGCCGTAAATGGGGGGCCGCCGCCTTATCTCGCCTGCAAAGAGACGCCTTGAGAAGGACTGCGAAAGATAATTTATAGGTTTTAATTACTCTTCATTCCGCCTGATCAGCTTGGCGTTCATCAGAAGACGGCGAATAAAACCTGGTCAAAAAGCACTGTCACTATTCCCTGGCACAGCGCTTAATCAAAGTAAGCAGGGCCCCCTATTACACGCTGCGCGCCTCGCCACGTAATTTCCCAGCTGCTGATAAGGCTGGCTGAATAATGCTGCAGTCCTTCGGAGACACCATTTACAGAAATGACTTTATTGACGGCTTAACGTCGGTAATTCATTTTACCTTTCATGGAGTGGGAGCCCGGATTTGTTACAGTAATGGGATGATAAATGCGCTGGCGGGCCCATAGTTTTGATTAGGTGCCGGGAGCGCGCGCACGTGCACCCGCAAAAGCGCCATTCCGAAATGGGCCAAAATTGGAGAACCAGAGAGACTTGGGTAAATGGAATCAGGAAGGGGAAGGGAAGGGAAGGGAAGGGCAGAGAGGAAAGAAGAAGCTTCTCGCCGCAATTCTTCACATCAAAACAGAAATATTCGTGTACGTTGTATTATTAGATGTTGATTCATAGATGTTGCATTAATTAAAATGTTGCCAAATTTGAAGCAGCCAGAGAGTTGGCAGAGAGAGGGAGGGAGGGAAAGGAAGGAAGGGAGGGAGGGAGGGTTTCTCTTACCTTTGTGGTTGTGATTCTTCCTATCCGAAAAGAAATAGATTAAATTCGTGTGTGTGTGGTATCAATTAAAGGGCCTTGCCGTTTTCGAGGAAGATCTCTGCCTCTGTACCTTTCAGGTTGGTTGCCGGAGACCAGCTGAAGGGGAAAAGGAGGCTCCAAGCTGGGAGAAGGCCCGGCGTTTCCCTTTTGCGGCTCCGGCAGTTTGTCTCGGCTCTGCCACTCTCTTCGCGTAGTAGGGTCCTTTTACTAAGGAGCAAGACCTACTCAAGCGCGAAGGTGCTATCCTTACAGCAGCCCAAAGTTGCCGCTTCCCATTTCGGGCGGCCTCCTCTGTCTGGCTGCCGCCGCCGCCTCTTCTCGCTCTATTCTTCCAGTATCAAATCATTTCCACTCCAGCCGTAGTTAGAAGCCGGACACTCTCTGTGTGTGGCCGTGAGCGTCGAAAAGCGGGAGAGAAGTGTCAGAAAAGCGAAGAAAACGCAACCCTGGAAATAAAAATCCCTTTCTTCTCTTTTTTTTTGGGGGGGGGGGGGAATCTTCCTCCGCTTCTCTCTGGGGATATTGTTTGAGGTTATTATTATTTGTTCACATCATTACCATCTTTTTAAGTAATAAAACGAAATACAATTAAAAACTGTGATTTGCATGGACCGAATGTTTTGAAAGTTGGCAGAGTTTGGAGGAGTGAATGTGTGTGTGTGTGTTCCTAACATATTCAGGCCCGGCTGTTTACATGCCTGTGTTTTATAGGTAGGTATTAGGTATTTGGGTAAGTTCACCTCGCTTCCCTGCCACGCTCCCCCACACCCCCTTCCGAGGGGGGATCCCCCTGCCGGCGGCATTCGAGATCTCTCACTCAGGTTTCCCTCGATCTACTGCAGGCCGGCCTGGGTTACCGGGGGGACGACCTTGTAAACGCTGCCCCTTTTCACAACTTCTCCCCTCCCTCCCCGGGGTCGCCTATGGGTGGCTTTTGCTACCCCCAGCCGCTTCCGTTCCGGCAGGGTTATATATATATCGCTTCCTTTAATGTACACGCTGATAATCCTGTTTCTGGGGCCAGATCAGATCTCCTTGGGGCCTTTGGTGAAGGACATAAATGAGCTGTTGCAATACAATAGATTGCGTCCTTCCTACAGGGACTGGCTGACCAGAGGTTTTTGTTGCAAGTGAATGCGAATAGATTTCTCTTACAAGTGCGGCATTATGATTATGAGCGCGAAGGTCAGGCTATACATTCCCGGTCCCCAAAGCCTATAGACCCCTGGGAAACGCACGG